CTCAGGAGTCTCATTAGCTCATCTCGAGTGACGGGAGTTGATCCTGCCGCCTGGGAAGGATCAATCGGCCGCCCCGAGGGCTTCTTTGGCTGACCAACAGTTTTTCTTGGCCCTGCCTGGTCGTGATGACGCTCCCGCTTCTCCTTACTGCGGATGCGTTTAGAGATGAGGGATCCATTTGGATCCACATAGGTTTCGACGTCAGCGTCGTCACCTGAGTCATGGTCCGTTTGGACCACTATGTCTTCTGGAGGCCGATTGGCCTCCGGGTTCGGTACAGGTACTTGTGAAGCCATTTCAGAGGTACTCTCCCCATAGACGGCGCCAAATGTTTCGGGGGTTTTTGTCCCTCGGGAGAGTTACAACACTGAAACTGGATTCAAAAATGGACGCCTGTACCTGCAAAGAAAACGGACCGCCGAATGGTCGGTGGTCCTCCTCCGAAGATTAAGTTAGTAAACGTTCGGTAATAAAACGTGCGTAAGTAAAGTTATCTGCTTGGATTCCAAGCTCATGTAAAATGCTGTCTGTTCTTTGAAAATGACAACTCTGTAGTAAGTGACGTATTTCCTTGTAGTGCGTGAATATTCTCTCTCTTTTTCTGTGTGTCCGCCATAAATGTAAGAATGTCCCTATTTATAGGGTCCTTTTGGAAAGTGTGCCCTCCCTAGGATCTGGTGACCTAGGGATTAGGGCACGCCATTTTTTAAGGGCCCCTTGGGATTTGAGCCTTGAAAGCCGCCATTCCCAGGGGGCAATATCTGCTCGACACGTGTCACCATCTGGAAGGTCCAAGTAGGTGCCCCTTCCAGTGACATGTGTCATGCTTTGATTCGGCCACTTGGCAGGGTATAAAATACCCAAATCATAAATCATAATCATAATTATCATAATCATATTAAAGCATAACAATAATAGCAAGATCCTAGACATGATATGATGTGAATTATTGATCCGAAAATCAACAAAACACAAGGGATATGTTTAAGTCTAATTCTATACAGGAAATCCACCAAGAATTAAACAAAAACTAAGATTAATCAATTCAGAATCCACCTAATTAATCAATCCAAACAAATGTTTTAACTAAAACAAGCAAAACAGCAATTGATCACAATCAACAAAAACTCAAGTATGCAACTTAAGAAATAAATCTGAATATTAATCTCTATGTTTATTCGTGTGTTTTACAGCCCTATTTATAAGACTTAATTTACCTAGGAAGATTAGGACAAGTTCCTAATTCAATCCTAATTAAACTAGAATTCTAACTTGCTTGAAGAGCAAGCACCTTGGCGCACAATCATACACAAAACTCCTCGGAGAACAAGCACACGCCTAAACTGATTTTATTTTGCTAACTAACTGATTTTCAAAGCAACTAAATAAATAAATAAAAAATTAAAGAACTAAATAAAGATTAAAGATCCTAAAGCTTGAACCAAGAAAAACCCTTTCAAGTGAAAGGTAAAAACTTGTAAGCAAAAATCTAAGTAAAGAAAATTCAAGAATGTTCAAGAAAGTGAACTAGACTCCAAGAAAAACCACTAAGCAAACCGTGGCTTTGTTTTGATATCCAAGAAAGTGTCCATGCAATGCTTGGCTTGAATCAATGTTTAGGGATAAACTATCTTGATGCATGATAAGCAAATCTTCGAAGTTCTCCATGCTTAGACTTGCATCATGATACTAACAAGATTAATAACAAACCCTAGCATGTTACTAAACAATAAAAATCAAAGCTTTAGCCCTAACATGATACTATCAAGATATTAGAAAAGACAAATAGGAAGCATCATAGAAATCATAATAAGCATATTTCATATTAGAAATTATAGTTATTACCCTAAACATTGTACTAGAAAGTAATAAAAGATCCTAACATGATACTAGGAATCATAATAACAATCTAGACATGGTTTCTATATCATAATAACAATAAATCAATTAAAGCACTTACTTGGATGCCTCGTATCTCTTTCTAATAACAAAATACATACGTTAGTAACTTCAAGGAAAATATAAAATCAAAGAATTAAATTAAATAACTGAAAGAGAGATTTGGGACCAAACCCTTAGAAATTAAAACCTTTCACGTCTAGGGCGAAGACAACTTCGAATTTGGCTAGGTGTTTCTAGATCTTGTGAATGCGGAATTTTGTATGCAAAAGCTGGTTTAAAAAAGAGAGACAGAGAGTAATCAAGAGATTCTTGATGAGAGTTGGTAATTTTTGATGATTGAAAACGGAGGTTTTAAGAGGCTATTTATAGGGAAAATCAGCCGGATGGATAAAAAATGAATCAGAGTTTCGAAAAGAATAAAACTCGACTGCAGCGCCAAACGCTGGACACTAGCGCCAGACACCATGTCTAGCGCCAGACGCCAAGCCTGGCGCCAGGCGCTGGTCCTGTCGTCAGACGCTGGAAAACATTTTCCACGCGTTTTTTTAATTTGATAAAATTTAGCCGTATAGGAGGAAAAAATCGTATTTACCTTAAAAACACTTCTTTTATTCTGATTAAACTCTTAAAAGTCAATTAAAGTTAATTTATCAATGCTAATTACATTAGGATTCAGAAGAACCTTCTACAAGAATCTAGAAGAATCTAAAAGAACCTTCAAAAGAACCTTCAAAAGAATCAATTCTAATTACATTAGGAATGATAAATCAATATTAGGCCTTCCTCTAGATCATTGGGCCGCATATAAATATCAAACCGGGCCCAGTTTAATAATTTGGCCATAACTTCCTCATTATTCATCGGAATTGGGCTTATAATATATCGTTGGAAAGCTCTTTTCAAACCTGACCCAACTACACTAACATTGGACCCTTTCCATGTACCAAACCAAACAAGAATGACTGCTTTCTTAAAATAGGTTTTCAAAAATAGAGAGAAAGAAAAGAAATAAAAACTAACCGCAACACTACACTTTCCACACTTTCACTTTATTCGATTATGATTCGACGTGAAAGGTATTCTTCACTGGGTTTGGTTTTGGGGAGATGCAAATGGGTGTCTACAGGGCTGAACCTATACTCTTCCCACGGTTAACCAATTCCCATGAAGATATGCCTTTGACAAGGGTCTTCGAAAAAATGGATATACTTCTCTAGTGATCTAGTAAATCGTTTAGGGGTTTTAGCTCGATGAGTTTCTTCTATCTCTAACGAGAATTCAAAATCAGGTTTTTGCTATCTTTCCTAAACCAGTTTCTTAGTTGTTATTGGAGGAAGTGCTCTCTCGATTAGGAAGAAGCTAGTATTGAACTAGTATACCTTAATGCAGCTATTGTTCCTTTTGTTAAAGACTAATTAACTAAACTATCTCCTGCTGCTAAAGCTAGCTAACGAGTGAAACAAGCAAAAACACAAGGTTTGCAGTATAGGAGAGTTGGGCTGATTCTTATCTTATGATTTTTGCTAAAACAATGTTGATAGAAGGAACTGAGATGTAGTTTGACTTGATTGGTGTTAGCTCAGCGGGTTTCTGCTATATCTGACTATATTTGCAAACCGCTTGTTTAAAGAATATCAGAACTGTAACAAGCAACGGCTGAGTTAACGCTATAGGCTTTCGCGTCATCCAGCAAGAAAATGGTTGCGCCTTCAGGCGATAAAAGGCGCAACGGCTTTCGCGCTAGCGTGCTCACCCGCTGCTTTTATGTTTCTACCCCTATCATTCATTTGGTAATTATTCACCCATTGGAAACAATTACCAAACTTTTTGCTAACTTTATTGAAATTATACATTTTAACTATAGTCTCAACTAAAGCTATAATTTGAATATTATTACTAGAAATAAGCTTTCTAATTTCACCTATCTTGAGAGGATCATTCAAACCTCTCACATTCCAAGTGCAAATGTTGTCTTCATTTATCGGGAGGGATAGTATCTTCAGTAGGGTTAAGTTCCCCCTCTTCTGCATCAAGTTCATCTTCTTCTTCATCATGATCACCTTCCATCTCATCAAGAGCATACAAGGTATTGTTTGGACTGGTGGCTTGTTTATCTTGATTGTGATTTCTTGCTCTTCTGGTAACCACTTTCCACCCTACATCAGCTCCTGAATTCACCACAGTTGGAGCATGCTCAAGTGTGTTAACAGTAGCATTTGTCACTACAACAGGCTGTTTAGGAACCCACACTTTTTTTGGTTTTAGGTAGAGCTCTCTCTCTCTCTCTCTCTCTCTCTCTATATATATATATATATATATGTGTGTGTGTGTGTGTGTGTGTGTGTGTGTGTGTGTGTGTGTGTGTGTGTGTGTGTGTGTATATACATATGTATATATATATATATATATATATATATATATATATATATATATATATATATAGAAAATTTTCAAAATATATCTCTAATACAAAATTAGTTAGGAATTGATGTGCTTTTGTAACAATTTAAACTATGTAGTAGGCATGTAAATGATTAATAATAATATTGGTATTTTTTTGTAGAGTTATAATCTAATATTTTTTTGAATATAATTATAATTCAATTTATACATATGAAATAAAGTTATAATCTAATTTTTTTTTTTAAATAAAATTATAATTCAATTTATACCTATGAAATATTGGTATTTTATCGAAAATAAAACTCTCAACTAACAATTTTATTCTAAAATTCTATCTAAATTTGATTGAAAATATAAATCTAAACTAATTAATTTATCTTATGAAGTCTATCTAAGTATATCTAACGTGGCATGACACTTGGCAAAAAATTGAAATACTAAGTGTCGCTGTCTCGTGGCCTGACTAAAAGTTTAGCTTTATATATATATATATATATATATATATATATATATATATATATATATATATATATATATATGATTTTTGATTAATTAGTACGGAGTATTATTTTATTTATTAGTATCGATCTTCATATGTTTACGCACACATGTGACACATCCAGTATAGTATATAGGGTTAGTAGATAGTTTAGGGAATGAGTAGTATAATCCCCAAATAATGTGACCATATATGTTCATCTACCGCCGGAAACTTCACTCCTAATTCCGTTGAAGAGAAAAACGTTAATACATTAATGGGGCTTCTACCGAGAAATCTTTCTCCTTGGGGCTTTTCGAGTGCCCTTACTCGTACATACCCGTCTATGTTCTTTGGAATCGCTCAGTGCAGGGGGGACGTAAACTCCCTAGAGTGTAACAAATGTGTTGTTAATGCTAGTATTGAAATTCGTAAGAGTTGCCCTTATAACAAAGGCGCGGTTATATGGTATGACAATTGTATGTTGAAGTATTTGGACCGATGTTTCTTTGGCCAAATCAATAACAAAAATAAATTTTATTTGTTGAATGTTGCTAATTTAAGTAATGATCCTGTTTTGTTTAACACAAAAGTTAAGGGATTATTGAGTAAGCTAGCGATCCAGGGAGCTAGCACTAGGAAACTTTACGCGATTGGAGAAACAAAGCTTGATACGTTTACAAATTTGTATGGGTTAGCTCAGTGCAACCAGGATCTGTCGAACAAAGTTTGCAAGACGTGCTTGGATCAAGCCATAAGTGAGCTACCAAATTGTTGCGATGGAAAACGCGGTTGGAGGGTTGTTAGTGGGAGTTGTAACGTGAGATATGAGATATGTCCCTTTATTAATTCTTAGGATGATTGTATGAGAAACTCTATTATGCACCTGTGTATATTTAGAGTTGAGATTGCTCGCGCCAAAACGTTTATTTGTACTCATTTGTTCATTTTTCCTCGTTGGTAGAGTTTTAAATGACCAAATAAGGATTGGGTATTCTTGGGGAAAATAGATGTGAATGTGAAGAGGATCAAAATAATTAATCGGGTTAATTATTTGAATTGTTTGGCTTTGTTTTATTTTGCAAGTGAAAATGACATTTATTATTTTTTACGGGAATGCCTTATTATATTGTAATATTTTTGGGCTTAAGGGTATATTAGGAGTGGTATAGGGGACCCAACTACAATAGTTGAGTAGCCACTATATTTCAAAGCCATTTCAAAGGAGTGGTATAGGGGGAATATTGTATTACCTTTTTTTTTTCTTCTTCGGTACTACGTTATTATTCATGGAAGATTGAGATTAATACAATTGAGTTTGTTCTTCATTTTAGTAATTTTATGAAAATTTTATATTGTGGTCTATTGAAATATGACTACCGTAATGTTTTAATAATTATTCAACTCATTATTGACTTATTTATCTTCAAGTAATAATGTATGTTCCTTTATTGGTTAATGCTATAAAGCATTTAATATACTTCCTTTATAGTATTAAGTTAGGAATTTATCGACAATTCACGAGTAAATCGGTGTAAGGGCGGATCCAAAATTTTTTTATAATCCGGGCCGAATTTATAAAGCATTTCAAATATTAAAGCCATAAAGAGATATGAGTTATAAAGTTGAATTGTGCTAACAAGGGGAATTGAACCCTATGGAATAAGTAACTAATTAACTAAGGGGAATTGAACCCTATGGAACAAGTAACTAATTAACTAAGCCTACTATAAAACTTAAATATTTGTACAAGTTTTATTATTTCTATAATACCAAAATCTGGGTATCGGGGGAGCCAAGGCCCGAGTAGGCCCCCTTGGATCCGTCTATGCATCGGTGTAATAAATATTTATATTTTGTCAATTGTTTCGATTTTTAACTTCTTATATGCAACCCTTATGGCTACATATATCTTTTTCCTTCTTTATTTGTATACTTTACGTATCTTTATTTTAATGAGTAACTTTTGTATACATCCGATGTACAGTAATTTACTGTACATCGGGGTCCATTTTATCAAATTTAGGGTCACTTTTACAATTTTTTGGGTAACTTTTATCAATAAAGTATAAATATTTCGTAACTTTTATTTATGTCAAGGTAATTTTTATTCATATTAGGGTAACTTTTGCTCATTTTAGGGTAACTTTATAACGGATGCACAATATTTTATTTTACATCTGATTTATTTAAAAGTTTGTTTGTTTTAATACTCTATACAATTTTGTGGAAATGCTGATAAAGAGAAAATTAATCACTTAATTATTTTCGATCAAGAGTTTTTTTTAGTAAGGGTAGAAAGTAAACCTAGTGTGATGAAATAAAAAATTTACAATCGCAAATTTGGATGTTTATACTTTTGTATATTATACTTCCCGTGCCACACACCGTAATTTTTAAAAATATTATCAATTCTATTATATTTTAATTAGTGTATAAAATATAGTGTAAGAATTAAAATTGTCTAATAATATTGTGAATTAAACTACCAAAATATTTGTTGAAATAATCATGGAAGATCTAATTAGCTAATTATGTATTTAAAAGTTATGCATTTGATCATATAATTATATATTATGTATATCAGTCTGGTACCATCATTTTCTTGTTAATTAAATTAATTTTTAAGCTATATATGTACATCACGAAATAATTCAATTCCCTTTATATTCGCTATTAAAATCACACTTTATTTTATCTCAAATCAAGCCATGTACAATATTAATCCATATCTTCCAAATAAGGTACTATTTTTTTTCTTTATTCAACCTTTCTCTTGTTATTGGATATTGGTATGTTTTAAATTATGTTATTGAATTTTTTTTTACTCTTTCTAATAGTAAAGATTTAGACTATAATTTCACAAAGTTTCATATGTGGCTGGCCACACGTGCGGCCAGCCACAATATTAGAAAAAAAATTCTTCTCTTCCTTCCCTCCTCTTTCTCTCTCCTCATTTCTTCTTCTAAGTTGGGGTTACTTCTTTCTCTCTCTCTCCTCATTCTCTCTCATCTTTTTTTTCTCCAGAATTTAAATTTTTTGATGAAGAGATAATCGTTAAATCGTTGATGAGAAGTTGAGTTCGAGTTTTCAAGGTCGGAGCTCCTCGTTATTGTCGTCAGAAAACAAATTAAAGGTTTTTAAGGCCAAATTCGGCCATAAAAACTATAGATGTAGAGTTTTCATGATTCAATTTGGCCTTTTTAGCCATACTTGAAGTGAAAATCGAAGTCATTGTTAATTTTAAAAGTATCTGTTCGATTTAATATAATTTTTTTTTATTATTTATTTTTTTATTTTTATTTTTTTTTACGATCTGGTTGTGGGTTCGGTTGGATCTATGTTTGTTTGTGGTTTTGGTGTATGGTGGTGGTGGCATGGCGTATTGGGGTGGTGGTGGGCCAAGGGTTACTAGGACGGGTGTTACGTAAGGAGTTATTAGATGGTTACTTGAAGGGTTACTTAAGTGGTGTTATTTAAGTGGGGTTACTTGAATGGGTCATTGAGGGGTTACACTTTGAAAAAAGCTTCTTACCAAAACACAACTCCAAAGATGTTCCTTTTTATCAGGCTGAATGTCTTCCCAATCTTTAACTTGCAAAGGAATGACGGCGCGATTTCTTACTTGTTCACCCAAGAAAAAAGCAAAGAGTGATGAATTTTTTCCAACAGGAATGCCATCCTTATTAAACTCCACATATATTTTTTCTCCAGGAGGCAATATAGTAAAGCTTTCTGCTATATATAGGCCCTCGTCTTCTCTTAACAGGACCTAAACATTAAGAGTTACGAAAGTAGTAATAATTAAAATCATTTTTCCAAAAAAAAAAAATAAAAGAAAAAAAAAACAACAACAAAGACAATACAATGTATATTATATCACCTTCTACTACAATAAGCCTTCTATCTCCATTTAATTCATCATCAACCACATGAGTAGATACATCACCTGTTACTTAAAAATCCTCATCATTGTGTATCTCCATATCCTCTTTCATATGTGCAATTACAAAAACATTCATAAAACAAGATGAAAATGTATTACAGTATAGTTATTGCTGAAGTCTTTAAGAATGACAATTTCACTTACCTTGATTCATTTGAACATCATCATCAAATAAATGCTCATTCATATCTGATTTAACGTTGTATAAAATCCCAATTTTAGCGCAATGTAATTCTAATAGCCAAATATAATGCAACGTGTAAACAAAAAAAAATTATTATATATAAACTAACTTTATTCATTTCAACCTCATTATCAGCATTTTCATTCAAATCCTCTACAATTCCTTCGATATCTTGTATGTCTGCAATGTACAAGTATAAAAAAGTAATTTTTTTTAAAAGTATACAATGACGCCACAAATCCCTTATATTGAAAGGACAATTCTATTTTAATTTCATAGTTCATTAAAAGGAACCAATGGCTTTTACCTTCATCTTGACCAATATTTTTTTGATGTGCATTTGATTGTACGTGATTATTACTAATGGCTGCATTAAGGAAGACATATATTGAATTTTATGTTACTCTGAGTTATAAACATTTAGATAATTCAAATATTCATATCACATACCTTGTTCCACAACTTTCATGGCTTTTGAAAGTGATTTAAAAGTTTTATCTCCTACCATTGCTGCTTGTTGCTTTTTATTCATATTAAAAAACTTAGCCACACACATTGGTGGAATGAATTGACTTTTTTTCAGCTTTCCTTTAGTTGCAGAACGCTTATCCTGAAACATGTTATTAAGCAGATAACAAAAACTTGATGTCCATATAAATTAATAAATAACTAGCTAGTTTATGAAAGTACCTTCTTTGGCATTGCAATATCATCTTCTTTCTCATATTCATTATCATCTAGAAAATTCATGTCATCCTCATCATCAAAGTTTGGAACATAGTCCTTATCTATCTTAGTCACATTTTGGCTCTTCTTCATCTTCTTATTTTCTTTTTTGCTTTCCACTAAACTTGTCAAGGATGCTGAAATGCGCTTGATACCCAAGGATTGCATTCTATACTTATTATCCTGAATCCTCTTTAACCTTTGTTGTTCATACTCATTTTGTTGGCCACTATTCTTGTCAGAAGTATTAATTCCAACTTTCTCCATCATTAAACCTGCACTAAAAGTGTTAATAACTATATACCATATAATCATTAGTTTACATCATAAATTACTATATCATGCAACTTTTCTAGATCATGATTTATAAAGCGTAATATATCCAACAAAAATTGTATTAAAATGTCAAACTATAACATTAGTGAAAGAAAATTAATTTAAAAAAATTAATTAAAAGAAACAAAAATCATGCAATATAATCATCATCGTCCTCATCTCCATCATTATCACATTCTTCTTCACCATCAGTGTCATTGTCTGTATCAAAATCAAATTCATCATCTTCGATTTCATTATCATTGACAACTTTGGGTTGATTTTGATCAGTTGCATCAATGATTATGTCATCAATATCATCTCTTTGGTCATCAAATTGATAAGGAGTGTCCTCTAAGTCATGAGCCGATAAGAAAACATTAGGAACAGCTCCTGAGTCACTTTGTTGTAAAGCATCCTCATCTAATCGACATTTTCATTTTCTGGGACGTTGTATTGATGTCGCGGATGGGTCTTAATCACAACCAACCAGCTTGTATCAAATCCGTCTCTAACAAAAAATAATTGTTGGGCTTGAGACATAAGCATGGCTCATCAGTAATTAGCTTACATTTAGTGTTAACACTAACTACACCGCTTTTGTCAATCTTAACCCCTTACCAATTTTATGAACATCCCACCAATCAAACGAAACAAGATCACACTCTTTCCATCTAAATACTGCAGCATAATTATGTCATTAAGCACCCCAAAGTAGTCAATATTTTTTGACTCTGCAATTCCTTTAACCATAACACCAGAATTCTGATTTTTTCTCTTCTTTTCAATGTCCTTAGTATGAAACCTGAATCCATTAGCCAAATATCCACCAAAACACTGGACACCTCTAAACGACCCTAAAGCCAAAGTTTTTAAATCTTTGACAACTTGATCCTCACTTTCTGGCAATGTTGTAACCTGGTTCGATATGAGAGGGTTAGTTGAGTGTTAATTAGAATTAAAATATATATATATATATATATATATATATATTATATATATATATATATATTATATATATATATATATATATAAGTATTATCATACCCGATCTTGAAACTATTCTACCAAATTTTTATCAGATCCCGCTTCTACATATTCACTGTTAAAAAAAGGAAAACTATTGTTATACAAGTGTCTAAATACTTTGTATAACATAAAATAAATTAAGGAAAATAAGAAAGTTCATACTTTAAGTATGACTCAGTTTCGTCGCAATTTTTAAGCACATATTCTCGAGCTTGTATCAACTCTTCGGTAGTTAGAGATTTAGATTTAGCCTTTCCCAAGGGAACGCCATATGATGCAAATATTGATAATCCCTTATAAGCATCAGTTTCTTCTTCTGCATTCCTCTCTAACATGTTATATTTAGTCTTCATATCATTTAAATATCTTGAACAGAAGAACATACACTCCTCTATTATATATCCTTCTGCAATGGATCCCTCCGGTCTATTTTTATTGCGAACATATGATTTGAATTTTCATAATAACCTGTAAGACAACACTATAAATTATGAATATATGTTCATGTTAACAAAGAAATTTCACAATTCATTCAAAATAAATAAATACCTTTCAATAAGATACATCCATCGATAATGAACTGGCCCTGCTATCTTAGCTTCCTCAGCTAAGTGAACACATAAGTGCACCATTACATCAAAAAAAGAAGGAAGAAAAATCTTTTCCATTTCACACAAGGTGATTGCAATATGATCCTCAAGATCATTCAAGTCCTCTAATTTTAAAGTCTTGGAACACAAATTCTTAAAAAATGCACTCAATTTAGTAATCACCTCGTACACTTTAGAAGATGATACTCCACGAATTTCCAACGGCAACAATTCCTCTAAAAGCACATGACAATCATGCGTTTTAAGTCCCCATATTTTACGCTTCTCAAGATTGATGCACTTAGAAAAGTTAGATGAATACCCCGTCTATTCTCATCCACTACCCAAACAAAGTATTGTCATATTTTTCTATATTCTCAACAATCAATTCCCAATCCCATTCCCATATTTTAATCCCCAAACTCTCATTCCCACATTCCAAACGCCCCGCTAGAGTATTATATTGATGTAACACAAGTTAACTTTACCTTGAGCATCTCATGTTTTAAGTTATTATGAGTTTAAAAACAAATACTCTAAATAGATTTACACCTAACATCTGTTACTAAAAAGTTATGTATACATGATATATTTTGTTCTATTTTTGCACTTGTTGATGCGTTGAAAACTACTCTTTTTTAAGAAAAAAACACTAGTTTCATGATTTAATAGTTTTTTTTTCTTGAAACTTGTATTAACATAAAAATAAAAGTTTCTTTATAATAAAACTAAGAATACAGGATCCTATCCAGCCAAAACTAGAGTAATCTAATTTGAGCACCAGAAATATGATATAAGATTTAGTCCAGTTAGACATATAATACTATATTACTTAGTATATGTTTAGCCGCCAAAAGTACCCACCCATGGAACAATTGGATTACTAGCTTTAATATGCAAATCAAAATTATAATTTCATACTACACATCTACACCAACGCTATTTTATCTTATTATAGTGCATAATACTTGAAAATTTTTGCAAGAAACACACATACCTTGTCTCTGATTCCTGAAAGTCCTTTCCACTGAATAATTAATAATACCCGAATTGCAGCAATTGAAATCTACAAGCAAAATTGGGAAAATTATGATTACAATAATATATATATATATATATATATATATATATATATATATATATGTTAACTAGAAAATCAATATTAGAATACCTAACCGCAATTAAGGAATCCCAGCATCAATGATTGAACAATTGAAAGATTAAATTGAGCGGTGGCCAACAATATCTTCAATGGGTGAAGAAAAAAATAAAACTTAAGGTAGAAAAAGAAATTTTGAAGGTTGAAGGAACTTCTGCTTATTTTTTTCTTTTATTTTATTTTTTTTGTCAGACTAGAGGGAACGTAAGAGTGTAGGTATAATTTAGTGGGAACTTTTTATTTTAGGCGGCTATTTTTTTTATTTAAGGCGGTTGTTTTAATTTTGTTAAAAAAATTTAGGTCATTGTTTTTAAATTTAAAAAATTTCACATACTAGTCTGTACAAATGTACTCCATGATGAGAGGAATCCCGACTAAAATATACTTGCTACAAAATGCTTCGTGGCTAAATAGAATGTTTGCCACAAATATTTTTTTATCGTGGCAAAATATATCTATAAAACAAAAGGAATTATTGTGAAAGCTATTATTCCGTGGCAAGATGTAAAATTGCCACAATTTTAAAAATCCCGTGGCATAAATCGTGGCACAAGTATTAAATTGTAGTAGTGGATCAAGTTAGAAACTTGAATAGGGGTAAAAAGGTACGGAGATTTAGGTGGGGATCTGCTCGGATTCCAAGCTCAGGATGTCTCTATCAAAGAGTAAACTGTGTCATAAATGGTAAAAACGTGCCTCCAAAAGGAGAAAGTCTCCCTATTTATAGGGTCCTCGGGAATTGTGCCCTTAATTAGGTCATCAAGCCTTAATCATTGGTGGACTGCGCCGCATTCCGGCTTTCTCGGGATTTGGGCCATGAAGGTAGCCTTATTTCCATTTCTTTGGGATGACACGTGTCAAACAGGGATTGGTCCTATTTGGACTATCCCTAAGGTGTCACGTGTCACACTCTGACTGGACCACGTGTCAGGGTAAAATTACCCCCAAACATTTTCCCCTCACAGATGGCATCTGACGTGGCATCTGTGACAGGTGTCACTCTTCCATTGGGGGTGATTTTACCGCCAACTTTTGACTGTTCACCTTCTGCGGAAATTACGGAGATACCCCTATATTTACCCCCTATATGTAGTCGTTTACCCTCATTTTTTGTACGTTTACAAAAATCATTAAGAGAGATAAACTTTAGAGAGAGAGAGAGAGTCTGCTTTCACGTCTGAGTCAAGCGCAAGCAATCAAGCTCATTTCCGCCTGCCCCAGACGGTTCCGCCTAACCTTCATATATCAACTCTTAGAGGTACTGCCTCTGCATCTCTCAACTCTTTTCATTTTTTCCCGCTTGTATATATTCTTTGCAACAAATGGATGCATCAGCAACACACACGACACATCCTAGGTTAGAGTCCATCCGGTGACCTAGTACGGCTGAGTCTAGGACTGGGAGTGCCGCCTCGGGGTGTTGGAACCACCCTTATGCTTGGAATCCAACCGTCTATGTGTCTGTGCAGGACACAATGGCTCCGACAATGCAGACGGAAAGAGATCCCAACTATAGGAGCGAGGGCTCAGGCGGGCAACCGCCTGAGGGGGAGACGTCAGGTAGGGATAACCAGACGGCCGCTGAGAGGTCTTCCCCGGGTGCCCCTTCAACCCCTGGGGATTCATTCCTTGATGAGTGCGATCAGGGAGACGGTGAGGAAGCCGTCTCTATGCCCTGCTCGCAAGATGAGGAGTCATCCGGGGAAAGCTCCGCCTCCAGCTCCGAGAGCAGTGAAGAGTTTATGTCGCGCTTGAGGATAGTGAGGTGAAGGAGAGGAAGAAATGGAGTGAGAAGGAGGACCCCTTCCAAATCCACGTCTCTGCTAAAGACAGGGTAAACATGGACAAAGACTTGGAAAACTTCAAACTCATGCGCCCCCTAGCCGGAAATTATACCATCCGAGTTCCGCTTGCAGAAGGCACCGTCTCTTGGAAAGATAATGAGAGGAATGACAATGCCTACTTTGGCTGTTATGAGGCGGCGTTCCTGGTTGGGCTAAGATTTCCACTTCACGAGACGGTGAAGGCAATTCTAAGAGGCTATGGCCTGGGAGTCTGGAAACTTACCCTCAATTCTTGGGCTAACATTATGGGGTATGTTGCCGCTTGTGAGTTCCAAGGGCTGCATCCTGGCTGGGAGGTCTTGCCAATATGCATTACTTGAGTCGCAACCCAGGCGGGTGGAGGGCGTGGTATACATTTACCACCCTCCCTCAGTACATGATGACCTTGGACAAGGTGTCCAAGTTCGACGACTGGAAGCACCTCTTCTACTTGCTGTCTGCCCCTAGCCGGCGAGAAAATTTTGAATTGCGCCGGTACAATAAGAAACCTGACCTTCTGGGCCGAAAGTGTTGTCTTCCTTGGATTCCGGATGAGGACTACGACAAAATAATTGAGACCAACTTTTTGGTCTTGAAGATGATACCCTGTCAACTAGGGAAAAATAAAGGTTCCAAAGAACTGGATTCCAAAAAGCGCCTGGTTTAGAGACGAGACCTTTTTATCCGCCTTCGGGCTCAGCACAATGTTCACCAAATGTATGCGCCTGACCTTAAGACCGTCTGGGGTACTTCCGTGCCAAATTGGCAATTACTGATGTTTTTTGCTCTTTTTTGTAGAGGAAGCTTTAGCCATGCTCCCAGACGAGAAGATACCCAAGAGGTCCTCCGCCGCCATTCGCAGAGATCTGGTGGAAAAGCAGGTGGATGCTATTAGGGCCAAGGTAAGACGCCTAACCCCACTTTACTTTAACTTGCAAACTTTATTTCAGGATGCATGACTAACTTGCATTCACTTTGCAGGGAGGCGAAATCCCAAAAACGTTTGAGAAGACTCTCAAACGGGCTAGGGATGACTCCGCCTCTACCCCTCCCAAGAAAAAGACTGGCTCCTCCTAGACTCTTGGAGCCAATGCCGAGAAAACCCAAATGCGCCTTGGGGGAAGGATGTAGGAGGTAGACGGCGCCTTTGGCCTTGACCTCGTCAACCCCTTGTCCGTTGGAAGGGGGGTTACAGCGGCTGCGGGTGGCTCTCGCCATGCCGTCTCTGAAGGTAAGGCTAACCCATTTGAGTCCTCGCCTGAGTTAGGGTGGCCTTTGCGAGTGAAATCCCACTCCCAACAGACTTCTTCCTTAGACGGTCAGCAACAGATTGGTGTCGCTTGTATTTTGCACTCATCAAATGTTGATTGTGGTGCAGATCTAACGTCATTCATTCTATGCAGGCTCTTTTGCGGGTAGACGGTCTCAAACGTCCTTACTCTCGCAAGCAGAAAGAGGTAAAGAGAGCCAACAAATCAGCTAGAGACGCTGAAAACGTTGCCCTATACTCTTGTACAATAAATAAACTTGAGACTAAAGCCACACTAATGACGCAGGCATCCAATATGGAATAGCTCGAGAAGGACCTGGAGGCGTTCAAGCAGAAAGCCGGGGATGCTGAGACGGCGCTAAAAAAGGCCAAAGAGGAGCTTGACAAAGCCAAGATGGAGCAGGACTCTCTCAAGGGTGTTTCCCAAGAGAACAACGACCTCAAGGCCAAGGTCAAGGAGCTGGAGGAGGCGGCCCAGGCGCAATTGAACTTTAAAGCAACCTTGGAGGCAGAACAAGAGCGCCCGGTTGCCGAAAGTGAGGCTGACAACGACACCCAGATGAGGATTGCCTGGAACGTCTTGTATCCAAACAAAGAGTATGGCGTCTGGGCGTTGACTCACAAATATGCAGAGGAAGTTGTATATTTGAGGGAGAAGGGTGAGCCAGAGTCGAAGTCGTTCGAAGCCTGGGCGCATGCTGAGCTGCCAGAACCTGGTCACCCTGTCCCGACTCAGGCGCACGAGGTTCCTTCTAACGAAAATGAAGAAGATGAGGGGGGCGATGACCAGGTGGACCCGTTTGCTGCTCAACAATGAATTTCTGCAGCAGTATGCCATTTTTATTATTTTTCTGTTTCAGCGGCTGTATGCCAGAATACTTTCTTTCCGGCCTGCGTGCCATGTATATGTTGTTTTTACCAGCTGAGGAGCCGGGTTATTTTACAGTTTGCTTCACTTCCCGGACGGGGTCCGGTTAACAATTTCCTACCACAGCCGATTGGCTGGGTAGTGTGTTTTTTTTAAATGAATGCGCCAACTAAGTCGGTTTTGATCACTTTGCTTTTGAATTTTGCATTTTTACTTTCTGCAAGTATTCTTGAAATTTTTTGCTTTTGCCTAACTTATGAAAAGCATGCGGAAACTGATTATCCGGCTGCTCTTGCCCCTAGGCGGCTATGTGGTTGGTTTCACCTTTAAATCGATTGATTGACTTGGAAGCGTCTGATGCTTTAAAGAGCATGATATGTTTGCAAGTCAATCAATCACAACAGTGATTTCCCCAAACCAAGTGTACAGCCGCTCATATGACAGGCGCCCTTCAAGCGCTGAGGATCAGACGGAAAAAGGTTGTCTGGATATCAGACAAAAGGCGAAGGACCGTCCTTCCTGTCATGAGACAGGAGGCAAATTGCCGCCTAGGGGTCTTGCAACCCAATTATGCTCTTCCGCCTTGGGAAAACGTGTAATTTCAAAGGGTGATTCATTTTACCCAGGCCAGGCAGCTATGAGTTGGACCATGCCGCCTGTATGTACAAGTGCACTCTTTGGTAGTGCTTGTGATGATTGCACCCGGAGGGGTATTGTTGGTCACCTTATTACTCATTGGAGTAGACCAAATTCGAATAACCATCTGGCCATTGGCCTCATGTCCTTTTGACGGTTGCGTAGCTGTTGCACGACCCTTGTTGCCCCGGTGGAGGGAGGTTGATGCAACTTTAGAATGAAAAGCTTAGGAACTTCGGTCGATCATCGGCTGATGTCTGAGGACATCCGGTATTTTGAAAACTTAATCGTTCTTTCAACTT